TCTACCATCTATCTATCCACCCATCCATCCGTCCATCCATCCATCCATCCATCCATCTGCCCATCCATCCGTCACTCATCTATCTATCTGTCTGTCTGTCTATCTATCTATCTATCTATCTCTTGCCTGCCCCAGACCTTAGTTTGGGTTTATTACTATGTATATCCCTGCTGATCTGTTTTGAAGTCAGGCAGGCTTGAATTCAAGCTGAATAACTTTCCATGAGTCACTTTACCTCCAAGAGTCTGCTTCTTTATTACTATCCTGAAGATAATAATACCTTCATCATCAGGTTTTGGTAAGAATCAAGGAGAAATTATAAATTTACAATTGTTTAGCATGATGTGTTTGGCACATAGTAGGTGTTTGGCCAATATTTGCTTCCTACCCTCTCTTTCCTTCCTGAGACTGGTACAAATTGGTGCCAGCTATTTGAAAAGAACTTGCCTCTTCCTTCAACAATTTACTCCTAAAGTGCAGATAACAGAATTTCTGTCTGTGTGAAATTCTGTATAGACGATACATAGGTAGGTAGGTAGGTAGGTAGATAAGTAGATAGGTAGGTAGGTCAGTAGATAGATAGATAGATGGATGCACATGTGTAAAATTGAATAGCTTATGTCTATAAATAAATGTGTGCATATATGTTATGTTTGATCAGAATATCCATATATTCAAATGCTGCTCGGTCACCAACAGAACAATGGTAAAATTAAGAATTAAGATGTAAACTTTATCAGCATTTCAGTATACATTAGGAGAAGCAACACAAATCATCTCAGACAATAAAATAAATACAATCACCATTCGGAACAAAATAATGGAACAAAATCCCACTGAGTCAAAATCCAGAAAAAATATAATGTTCATTAGAGTAACATCCTGTGATTATTTGTTGAACCAAACAAGGGTATGATAACTAGCTTTCTTTTTTTTAAAATATATTTTATTGATTTTTTACAGAGAGGAAGGGAGAGGGATAGAGAGTCAGAAACATCGATGAGAGAGAAACATCAATCAGCTGCCTCCTGCACACCCACTACTGGGGATGTGCCCGCAACCAAGGTACATGCCCTTGACCAGAATCAAACCCGGGACCCTTGAGTCCGCAGGCCGACGCTCTATCCACTGAGCCACACCGGTTAGGGCTCTGGTGGAGACTTTCCACATGGCATCTCGATGAACCTTCCCAGCAACACCGCGAGCTCATTCTGCAGCTAACGCAGGAGAGCCGGGATCGGGGCCAGGCGGTCCGAGCCAGAGGCCGCGCCCCTGTCCAGGTGCCTCAGGCTCCCCGCTAACTGAGATGAGAGAGAAGGCGCCTTCCCTTTCAAGATGAGAGGTGGTGGCTCCTCCATCTCCCCGCAGCCACACATACTGCCCATTGGTCCTCGAACGGTGACACTGCGGTTTTCTTTCCTTACCACGTCAACGCGTAACACACTGAAATGAACAATAACGGGGAGCAATGGGGAGCCTCCACTAAAAGAGCAAATGAAAGACAGGTGACACTTTTTAAAATATATATATATTTTTTTATTGATTTCAGAGAGGAAGGAGAGATAGAAACAAGTGTGGCTAAACAAAATCGCATTTGCTCGATGCCGTGGTATTATTTCTTTGGACACAGGGTGTTGGTCAAGTTTGCCCAATATGCACCTTATAATTTTGGGGCATTTCCATTAAAAAAAAATACACTTTTATTGACTTCAGAGAGGAAAGGGGAGGAAGAGAGAGAAACATCAACGATGAGAGAGACTCATTGATCGGCTGCCTCCTGTGCGCCCCCTACTGGGGATCGAACCCGCAACCCGGGCATGTGCCCTTGACAGGAATCGAACCTGAGACCCTTCAGTCCGAAGGCCGACGCTCTATCCACTGAGCCAAACCGGATAGGGCAGACGACACATCTTTCACATCTTTATCAACACCTCGGCCACACACGTGACAGGCGGGGATCCATAAGGACACATTCAGAGAAGACGGCACTTGGAACTATGCGTTTATTTGCACTGAAGTAGCGTGGCATCACGTGACCCCGCGTGTATCCTTTGAGATTCTTAGCCTGGGTGTGACGGCTGGCTCTGCTAATAGAAAGGTCTTAGATGGGAGGGCGCACAGGGCCCCAATCAGCGCCCAGTCAAGGTCACGCTTTTCAAATTACATTGTGCCCGCCTTCACCTGCCGCCCATGAGCTGCAATAAAAACACACGTGCCCCGGGAAGCCCCGGGCTCCACACACATATATGTTTACTAGTAACCTGTCAGGCCAGGGGCGAGGGGCTATGAGGGAAATGACAGAGGTCTCCCCCAGCTGGCCGCGTGCATTGAGAAGCCGAGTTTGGGAGGCAGAGTTCACGTTGGTGCAGATGGCGAGACAAAGCCGGAGTCCCCGAAGGTCAGTGTCAGGATGTAAGGGCTCCGGGCTCCGCTTTCCCCGGGTCAGCTGGGCCCTCGGGCTGTGGAGGTTGGGGAAGTCTGTCTCCTCGTGGTTTTGGGG